TATATTTTTTTAAAAGAATACAATGTCTGAAATAAAAAATATTATACAGAGTCCTAAAGACAGAATGGAAGATCGCAAGAATCAAGTCAAAGATTTGGAACATAAAGAGCCAGAAGACACTCTTCCACAGAAGCAAGAAGATAACAGAATCCAGAAAGTCGAAGATAATTTAAGAAACCTCTGGGACAACTTCAAGCAAACCAACATCAGAATTATGGGGGTCCCAGAAGAAGAGAGAGAGCAAGATACCGAAAGAATACTGGAAGAAATAGTGAAAGAAAATTTCCCCCACCTGGTGCAAGAATTAAAGTTACAAGTCCAGGAAGCACACAGTACCCCAAACAAAAGGAATCCAAAGGAGACCACACCAAGACACATCATAATTAAAATTCCAAGAACAAAAGACAAAGAGAGAATATTAAAAGCAGCAAGAGAAAAGCAGGTAGTTACCTATAAAGGTGCTCCATACGATTGTCAGCTGATTTCTCAACAGAAACCATGAAGGCCAGACGGGAATGGCAAGAAATATTCAAGGTGATGACTAGCAAGAACCTACAGCCAAAAATAATCTATTCAGCAAAGCTATCACTCAGAATCGAAGTCCAGGTAAAGAGCTTCACTAATAAAATTTTAAAAAACTAAAGGGGTTCATCACCGCCAAACCAGAATTATATGAATTATATGAATTGCTGAAGGGGATTCTTTAGGAAGAGAAAGAAAATAAAGATAAAAACTATGAACAAATACGTAACTATCAACAAGTGAATCTAAAAACCAAGGGAATTTTAAAATCTGATGAACAATATTAACTGGTGAATATACTAATAGAATCAGAGGTATGGAAGGGGAGTGAACTGACGATACTCAGGGAAAAGGGGAGTGGGGAGTATGGGAAGAGACTGAACACAAACTGTGCACCTATGGATGAGGACTTGAGGGGTGGGGAAAGGGCAGAGGGTGGGGTGGGAACCTGGTGGAGGGGAGCAATGGAGGGGGGAATGAGGAACATTTGTAATAATATGAACAATAAAGATTTATTTTTTAAAATAAAATAAAATGCACCAACCCTAGTAGAGAAATAAATGAAATGTTATAAACACCAGCTATGAACCCCCACCCCCCCCCAAAAAAAAAGGAAGAAGAAAAAGGTAAAGATAAAAATTATGATCCACAAATACATATACATCAAGTGAGTCTAAAAATCAAGTGAATTAAAAATCTGAGGAACAGAATAAACTGGTGAATATAATAGAATCAGGGGCAAAAAAGGGGAGTGGGTTGATAATTATCAGGGGGAAAGCGATGTGGGAGGTGCAGGAAGAGACAACTAAAAGTGTACACTATGGATGAGGACAATGGGGGAGGAGGTAAGGGCAGAGGTGGGGTGGAAGGGAGCTATGGGGGGGGGAAGGAGAAACAATTGTAATTATCTGAGTAATAAAGATTTATTTATTTTTTTAAAATAAAATAAAGGTGATATGCAAATTGACCATCACTCCAATGCACAAGATGGCTGCCCCCATGTAGACACAAGATGGCCACCACAAGATAGCAGGCAGGGGAGGGCAGTTGGAGGTAATCAGGCCTGCAGAGGAGGTCAGTTAGGGGTGACAAGACTGGCAAAGGAGAGCAGTTGGGGCAACCAGGCCTGGAGGGGAGGGAAGTTAGGGGCAATCAGGTGGGCAGGGGGGTGGTTAGGGTGATCAGGATGGCAGGCAGAAGTAGTTAGGGGCAATCAGGCAGGCGAGCAGTTGGGAGCCAGCAGTCCTGGATCTTGAGAGGGATATCCCAGATTGGAGAGTGGGCAGACTGGGCTGAGCAACACACACACACACACACACACACACACACACACACTCTGTGCATTAATTTTGTGCACCAGGCCTCTAGTCCTATATAATAAGAGAGGAATATGCTAATTATCCATTCACCTTGAGGCGTAAAGACCAACCGCTTAATGACCACATCACAGAGCTACAGGAGGGTGGGGCACCAAACTACAAGCGGGCAACGAAAAGCTACAGGAGGGAGCAGAGCAGCAAGCTATGGGAGCAATGGGGGAGCTGCGGGAGGGCGGCCGAGAGCTGCTGGCGCAGGGACTCGTGTGCAGGCCTGCTGGCGATACATAAAGCCATTGACTGTTGGAAAGCTCCCAGATTCGGTCCTTGCATATTTTTTTATTTATGCTTGCTCCTGGGAATCTCTTCCTACCTCATGGCTTTAAATAACCATAGATGATGACTCTCAATTTTATATCTTCAACTCATATTTTGCCAAACTTATACATCTAGCCACTTTCTTTACATCTTAACATGACTGAAAGACATCTAAGACTTATCTATATGTTAAAAAAAAAAAAAAACATTGAAACCTGTAAAGAATTTTTGTGAGTTTACTGAGCCAAACTGTCGACATATGCCAGGAAGCAAAACCTCAATGGATTGAGCTAATGCTCCGAAGAATGGCGGGTTATATTTCTCTATTTATACACTGAAATCAAAGGAGGGTCATAGGTGGGTTACGTGAAATTCATTGGTGATGGAGTAAGTAGGTGGGAGAAAGCAAAGCGGTGGTAAACTCCTGGGACTGGATAAAAAGTAAAATGATGGAGTGTACTCAGGTGAGTGCAGGAACAATTAACATGATAAAGAAGGAATTTGAGGCATCTGTCCAGGGGCTCCAGAAAAAGGGAAGTTACAAGTTACCCAGACATCTCATATGTTATCTTAGAGGTAAAAAGGCAAATGGGTTCAGTAAAGATCCAAGTTGATCTTTGGGAAAATATTGGCTTAGGAAATGACTACCCACTATAACCTGTTTGTACTTAAAATATTTAATTTTCAAACCATATTTTGTGGTTATTTTAGGTCTCTGGGTTTGCAAGACTGCCACGCAGGCCTTCCCGGAGCTTGTCAGGTTAGCTTGTGGCTCTTTTCTTTCACACATTCCCCTTTTGGTCACTAATCAATCCAAAGGATGCATTGATGACCAACCTTTTGGTTGGATAATGGAGTCCCATGGTGCTAGAAAGGCTCATTCCTAGGATGTCTCAGTGTCAGCATGTCTTGCTGAACAGATTGACCACTGGGGATGGAGGCAAGACCATAATCTTAGATGGCATATATATTTTTAAAAGGCAGGTAAATGGAAGGCAGTCAGATCCTATAGATCCTTATTAAAAAGTATTCTGGATCATATATTAAACCAAGCTCCTGACTGCCCTCCCCCAAACCTGCTCCCTTCACAGACTAAACCCTCTCAATGTTCAGGCCAACAAGCCCTCCCTTCCTTTCACAGTACCAGCCCATCCGGAGACCCTGGGAGTTCTATAATACATTCAAATATGCCAGCCCTGGCCGGGTTACAGCATTGTCCCATACACCACGGCTGCGGGTTAGATGCCAGTCAAGGTACATATAAGAGTCAACCAATTATGCATAAGTAAGTGGAGCAACAAAGTGGTGCTTCTCTCTCAAACATCATCACATGGCCTACAGCCGTGGTCAGCAAACTGCGGCTCTTTGGCCCCTTGAGTGTGGCTCTTCCACAAAATACCACGGCCTGGGCGAGTCTAGTTGAAGAAATGACATTAGAAGTTTAAGTTTAAAAAATTTGGATCTCAAAAGAAATTCCGATCGTTGTCCTGTTGATATTTGGCTCTGTGGTCTGATGAGCTTGCCGACCACTGGCCTAGAGCCATGGTGAAGTCCTTCCCTTAACTCTGACCTCATCTCCCACTCTCTCTCCTCACTCCGGCCACGACGACCTTGTGGCTCTTCCTCAAAAGAGGCAAGTATGCTTCCACTTCAGGACCTTTGTACATACTCCTTTTGTGTCCAACATCCCTCCCAAGACATCCGGATGGTTCTCTCCCTCACCTCCGTCAGGTCGTTTAAATGGCTCCTGGGGGCCATCTCTGACTGCGACGGGACCCCTCCCCTCCCGACTCTGTTTCCATAGCTCTCACTGCCCTCAAACGTCCCACTGGACATGTTATTTGACGATAGTCCTTCTGCTTCTACGGGATGCACTGATTTTGCCTGTTTGCTCGCTGCTGCATCCTCACTGCCTAGAAGAGTGCCGGCGGTCAGCCACCACCTGTGAGGTGTGGCCTAGTCAGGGCCCTGAGGAAACGGCGCGTTGAGGTCCAGATCCTCAAGCCTTAAGATGAGTCTGAAACAAGGGACACACCCCTTCCTGCTGTGCGCAGAAGAATGAGCTCAGATATGTTTGCAGCAAAAATGCAAGGATTCTCCTCCTCTGGTTTCTCGGGGAAACGAGGACACAGGGGTCTCAGGAGGGCGGCACTGCACGCCGCCCACAGAGGAGAAGGGAGCGCAGCTAGCAGGCCGCTTCCTCCCGGGCGCCGGGCGGGGAGCCCAGGCCTCGCTCCTCGGGGTGAGGGAGTCCAGGGAGCGGAAAGCCCGGGTTTGTCTTCACGCCCATCTGCTGGCTGTGCGGGTTTCCGCGCCCTCGGGGGCAGAGGAGGCCGCACAGGAAGAGTGACACAGCGAGGGTCAGAATGCAAGTTCTGCCGCGGCTTCTTCTGGCAAGACCAGGAGCGTCGGGTCCGAGGCCTCAGCACCGCCCGCGTCCCGAGGAGCCCCACCGGGCGCCGCCTGGCGTCGGTGAAACGAGTGTCTTCCAGGGAAAGGGGCTGAGGCAGGCCCTCGCCCTAACCACTGGGCTGCCGCACGCGCCCCAGGGCGCCTTCCCTGGCCCTCCCGCCCCTCCCAACACCTTCCCGCCCCGCCGCCATGTGTGCGCCTTCCTCGGGCTCCCACGCCGCCGCTCTTCCCGGCGCTTCGGCTGCCAACCGCCGCGGCCCCTCCAGCGGCGCCGGCGCACTGCGTTGCCAGGGAGACCGAGCGGGGCGGGCGCTGGTGACGCCACAATGGGAACAGCCAATGCCCGTGCGGCGTCCCGTGACGCGGCGCGAGGCGTGGCTTCGCTGCCCGGCGCGATGCGGCGGCTGCCCGCTGAGTGGCGCCCATTGCCCGGGGAGGTCCTCGCGGCCCCGGGCAGAGGTGCGGGAGGCGGAGGTGCGGGAGGCGACGGAGCGAGGCCGGGGAGCTCCCCGCGACAGCGGCTCGCTGCCCGCGCTCGGACCCGCCGGGGGGCCCCGCGGCCCCATGCTTGTGCCCGGCTCGGCGCGGCCACCCTCGGCGAAGACGCAGGTACGTGCCACCTGCCCCGGAGGCCGGGGGCGGCGGGCGGCGCCGCTGAGGCTCGGAGAGCGGAGCGCCGGGACCGCCCGCGCGGACGGGCACTGGAGACGTAGCGCGGGCGCCAGCCGCGCGGAGGACGCCGCCGTGGGTGCCAGCGTGGGTGCCAGGGGCGGCCTGCGTGCTGCCGGGTCCTCGGGAACGCGCTGGGCGGGGCGGGGTCCCGGGCCTGCCCCGCGCAGTGCCGTGCCCCGGGGTGGTGGCCTGAGAGCCGCCGGGCACTGACAGGACCTCCTCGCCTGGGCGCGCAGCTCTCCCTCCTCCCTGCACAGCTCCTGGGAGGGGCTCCTCTGGTCAGTGTGCCAAGGGCAGTGGGGGTGTCGGGAGGCAGCAATGAAGTGCTGGAGGGATGTCCCACCCTCCGGACCAGAAAGAGGCATCTTTGAAATCCTCACCCATCCCGAACCAGAAGGGGGGGCGGGGGGAGACTTCAGGGGGCAAGTAACAGCTAGGAAAGCCCTGGCCAACCCGCTCTAGCTGGTCTCTGAGGACTGACCATCCTGGCTGCTTCTAGGATGCGGCTGAGCCCCGCAGCATGGCTCGGTGGTTGAGCATCGACCTAGGAACCAGGAGGTCAGGGTTCGATTCTGGTCAGGGCACAGGCCTGGGTTGTGGGCTCCATCCCCAGTGTGGGATGTGCAGGAGGCAGCTGATCCACGATTCTCTCTTATTGATGTTCCTACCTCTCTCTCTCCCTCTCCCTTCCTCTGAAATCAATAACAAATATAAATTTAAAAAAAATAGAATGGGGCTGAGTTGGAGACGCGGGTGATGACCACCTCCCCAGGCATGGGCATGTGAAGGACCCCCAAGTGGGACCCGTAAGTGGGGGGCAGAGAGCTGGCTGAGCCAGGGCTGGGCACCGCACTCCTTTGATGCTGCAGATGCTGCCAAACGAGGAGTCAGCAGGCCTGGAATGAGGGCCGGGCCAGGGCGTCCTTCGAAGTGCAGCATCAGGGCCGGGGCTGAGTCAGGCCTCGGCCAAGACAGGGTGAGGCCCAGCCTGGGGCTCCCAGTCGTCCGTAGGCAGCGCCTTCGAGAAACACACTGAGAGCCCGGCCGGCCGAGAGGTGGAGAACCTGCTCCTCCCGCCACAACCCTGCTCAGCCAGCTCTGCGCGCCCCGCTCTCCGGCAGGTACAGTGAGCCCCTGGGCGGCCCTCAGGCTGCTGCTCTGGGCAGAGGGGGAAGGCGCCCGGGCCGCCTCCGCCGTGGTGGGCTGGGGCTGGGAGCACGCAGGCCTCTCTGCCCTGGCCAGTTGCGGGGCGCAGACCAGCTCAGGGAGCGGGGCCGTCTCCTGGCGTCAGGGCAGGGCTCTCCAAGGGCCGCACAGAGCCCTGTCCTCCCTGAGGAGCTTCCCTGGGAGGTGCGACTGCAATGCACCACTCACATACAAGTCCTCCACGTAATAGTAATGACCGCTTCCGAACTCGGGCGTGTGCCAGGATATCGACATACGCTTTTTTAACCTTCACAACGGGGAGATGGGCATTATTTTGAGGACTGTTAGCCCAGGGACAGAGCCTCAGACTGAAGGTCCCAGGATGAATGCCAGGCAGGGGCATATACCTCAGCTGGAGGCTCCTCCCTGGCCCTGGTCAGGGCTCATGCAAGAGGCTACCAATCGATGTGTCTCTCTCACATCGATGTTTCTCTCTGTCTCTGTCTCTCCCCTTCCCTTCCACTCTCTAAAAATCACTGGGAAAAATATCCTCAGTTGAGGGTTAACAGCAACAACAACAAGAAATACTACCACTAACTATAATGAAAAGTGGAAGCATTCAATATATAATTATTATTATATTAGGAGGCCGGGGTGCATGTCCCCAACCAGGCCTTGGGCAGAGGTCACGGCCAGGGCTAGCCCTCAAGGCCGGGGACAAGCGGGGGCTTGGCTGCAGGAGAAGGAGGCCCCTCGGCCGCCTCGCTGCCAGAGCTGTGCCGGCTCGGCTCCGTCCTGCCAGGATGTCGACGTGCTTTAGTTACCCTCACAACCGGAGGTGTCGGGTTACTAAGCTGACCGTGACTCCCGTTCTGTGGACTCAGTCACTCAGGCCCGAGCCTACTGTCTGTCTCAGGGCCACTGGGAGGGAGGGAAGGGCTGGGAGCCAGGTCTGGGAGCTCGCGGAAAAGGGCTTGGGCTGAAAGTCTGGCGCTGGTCTCTTCTGCTTCTCGCTGTCTGTGCCCTTGAACAGGGGCTGTCGCCTTGAGGTCTTCATCTCAGAAGCAAGGGCCAGCGTTGTGCTGCTCCTTGTCTCTAAGTCTGTGACTGGCGCCTGCTTCTGCGGTGTGCATCCCTTCCAGGTGTTCCACTGGACTCCCCTCCAGTTCCCTCCACAGTGTCCCCCTTCAGAGAGTCCTCTGGGGACGCCTGGCCTGGCCCGGCCCGTCAGGACAGCCCCTTAAAGGGAAGGCCTGTGCCTGCCCCTTTAATCCCCGGCTTGGAGCACAGTGAGTGGAGCTAGCTGCCATGGCTGTGAGGTCAGATAAGGTGCTATATATATCAGTCAGTAACCTGAGCAGGATTACCAGCCCAGAGGCTGCTCCAGCGCCAGGGCTCAGCGCGGCGCTCCGGCCCAGCCAGGAAGGAGAAGCCCCCAGGTCCGGCCCATTGCCCCCAACGCAGGTTAGTAGCTGCCCCTTTAATATCTGAGCTTCACAGGGACACTGAATGGAGGGTCCCCGACTGTTTGGGGGAACATTGGAGAGATGGCCCACCAGGCCTGGTGGGTGCTGTGGGCAAGACCAGAGGCTGGAGGTCAAGGACTAGACAGGATGGAGTCCTGGAGGGAGAGAGAGAAAGCCACCACCTGAGGGGAGGCCCGGGAGTGCAGAGCGCCCCACAGAGGTCGCTGATGGGAACGTGAGGATTTCAATTCGTCTCGGGGGCCCATTTCCGGTGATTTTTCTTCGCCCTGTAGATGCCTACCCTCTCCCAAGCCCAAATGAAAGAATTACCCAATGGGAACACTCCCCTGGGCCCACCCACTCCTTTTCAGCCAGTCAGGATTCTTGCTCTCATCTCAATGTATTTTACCTCTTCTCCCGCCCCTCTCCCAATCCTTGGGCACCTACTGGGAGCCAGAGAGACAGAAATGGCCCCAAGTTCCCTTCCCTGACCCCTGTCACGGCCTGTTCACGATCAGGCACTCCTAGTGGGGCCCTGGCTGCCCCCCTGAGCTAGAGCTCCAGGGAGAGGCTGGGAGGAGCAGCCGGCCGAGGCTCGGGGGCCCTGGGAAGGCCCACGGGTCTCCTGGGGGTGAGCACAGCCTCTTCGCCAAGCCTCACTCCACCTGCGTCTCCACACTCGCCGGACACCCCCGCGTGTGCCCGCCAGTGCCTGGACAGCAGAGAGGGCGGTCAGAGGGGGTGAAGGGAGACGGAGCCCCTCTCGGCCACTTGGCCTTGCGGGTCAGCACACCAGCAGGGCCTCCTGCCCTCACCAGTGGTCCTGGGGCCGGGGTGGCTGGTTCTCATGCACCTGCCCTGGCCACCTGGCGGGGGCGAGCCTGGGTCCTGGGGAGGCCTGCCTTGGGGACCCAGCCTGACTTTCCTTCTGGCAGCGACACGGCCACGGGAGCTGGCATGCCTGCACCCAGATAGCAGGGCACATCTGGGCAGAGCGGGCAGGAAGGCTGCGGGACGTGGGCTGTTCCCAGTCCCCTACCTGGATGCCAGGAGTGCCCGGGATTCCTGGGGAGCGAGTCCTCCCCTGGCCTGGCAGGTTCGGGAGCCTTGCACGTGAGCAACAGGAAATGACAGTACTGATTGCAAGGGGCTGGCTGCCCCTGGGGGATCGGTTTCATCTGAACCCCTGACTCACCTGGCCCGGCCGCCTTGGGGAGTGAGCCAGTGGCAGCAAGGAGGGGGGCTGGAGCACGTCCCTGACCAGGCCGGGGCCGGGGGCCGGCAGGGCTAGCCGGGGGCGGATGCTGGGAAGGAGGCCTCAGCCCATCTCCCGTCTTGCTGCCATCAGCTCGGGTTGCACTGACTGCTCACGCCCCCGCAGAGGCTGCCGCCTCGGCCTTGCTGTGGCCAGACAGTGACTCCTGGAGGCCCCACCCTCGCCCTGTCCCAAGGGCCCCCTCCCTGGGCCAGCTCAGGGAGAGCAGGGGGTAGGGTGAAGTGGGGGCCAAGGGCAGGGCGGCTGTGAGAACGCAGATCCCACCAGCTCTGCCCTCCTCCCAGTGAGACGGGAGCCGTGACCAGCACCTGCTCCTGAGGGCGGAGACCACAGTCTCAGTGGTTGTAAGCGTTCACAACTTCGGGAACCTGAGTGCTGCGTCTCAATGCTCCATTCTTTACACTTCATGTCCATTTGTTTTTAAATTTTTGAATAGAATATTTTAAATTTTAAGTTAATGTAAAAAAATAAATCTTCAAATGATGTTTGTGGCACTTATTCGTCATTATTATTCTTTTAGAGAGGGAGGAGGGGAGAGAGGAAGGGAGAGAGGAGCCTCGATGTGAGAGAAACGATGAGGAGGGAGCATCGCAGAGCCCTGCATCCTGCACTCCCCCGGGGCCGAGCCCAGACGTGTGCCCTGACCAGGAATCAAACTGGTGACTTTTCGGTGCGTCGGACAACACCCAGCCAGCTGAGTCATGCGGCCAGAGCAAGGCAATTACTCTTCCAAAAGAATTCAGGCTTCACGCGGGCGAAGGCTCGGGACGGTCTGAAGGACTGAGAAGAGCCGGGGGCGGCCGGGAGACAGGCGGGGCGAGTGGGTGTGCTCCGCGGGGCCCTGGCCTGGGGGCGCTAGGCTCACCCGCCTCGGGAGGCTGGGGCTCTGCTCAGAGGAGGCTGAGCAGCGGCCGGAGGCGCAGCCTGGGAAGACGCCCTCCTGTCCCAGGCACTTGGGAGCCACATGCCTGTGCTTGCCAGCGCTGGGCACACGGGCGGAGCCAGGCAGCGGGACCCCCCACTGGGCAGGGCGGGGAGGGGTTGCCCCAGCCAATCAGCATGTCTCCCACTGCCCCACGGAAAGGCCATTCTGTCCAGGCTGTTCCTGTGGCAACCAGCCTCCGCGTAGCCCTGTGAGTGCCAGTCCTGCCCCTGGCTTGTGTGGCAAGGATACCACCAGGGCCTGACCTGGTCTCCCACCGAGGTGCGGGATGCAGCCTCCGGGGTCGGCCCTGCCAGGTAATGCTGGGAGGAGCACCCCAACCTGTCTGCTCCCCTGGAAGGTACGCACTGTCTCAAGAGTGAGACAGCAGGGCGGGCGGGCGGGCACCCTCCAGGCCTGGGCCCCAGCAGGAACCCTTTCCCAGACACAGGGACTGTGAGCCAGAGCTCAGCTTCCGACAGTCTGTGTGTGGGAGCAGGAACCCCCCCCCCCCCCCGGGGCAGCTTCCAGGGGTGGGGAGGCCGGCCAGTTGCTTGCCAGGCGGGAAAACCGATTCAGGAGCCCCTCTGGGGCTGAGGCCAGAGGCATGGTTTCCTCCAGGCTGCTCATCAGCTGTCCCAGAGCGTCTGTCTGTCCCTCTGTCCCTGTCTGGGCTGTGCCTAGCTTGGCTGTAGCCCTTCGGCGCCGTCGGCAGCCAGGAGGTCAGGAGCTGGGCGCCGCCCGAGGAGAGCCAGCTCCCTGGACGGTGTGGGGGAGGGAGCCGCCATGGCCGGAGGCAGGGAGCATGGGAGGGGCAGGTCGTATCTGATTGGCAGCTCTGTGTCCTGGAGCCCAGCTCCCGAGACCCGGAGTGTCTTTGACTGTGAATTATTGATGGCGTTCTCATCAATAGTGAAACAGCCCGGCTGGACTGGGCCCGACCCGGCCCCAGGCCCAGCCCCGGGCCGGTCTGTTCCTCCCCAGCCCCCTCAGCTCTCACACTCTTCCTCTCTGCACCCAGAAAGTGAAGTCGGTGCGAGGAAAGCACGCGGTTTCCCAGCCCTGAGTGAGGTCTCCCTCAGCCCCCGTGGGGGTGGGAGCGCGCGGGCCAGCGTGTGCGAGGAAGCTGGGTGCGGCCGGTGGGAGAAAGGAGACGACAGGGTGGCCGATTGGTCAGAGGCAGCCTGGGCTGGAAACTGCTGAACGTTTTCTTCGGGGCCCTGCGAACGTGGCCATCTGTGTGTCCCCTGCACTGGCCCAAGCCTGGCATGGACCGAGCCTCTAGTGCCCTCTGCCAGCTCCTCTCTGCCCTGATGGCTGAGCTACAGGCCTGGCACGCTGCAGGCTGCCTCCTAAGCAACCGATTGTTGCTGCTGCCTCCTCAGCAACCAACCCCCAGGAGCGGGTGCGGGTCACTGGGAGCTGCAGGGAACCGGAGTGCTCAAGGCTGAGGTCAGAAGCCGCTGCAACTGGGAGGGACCCTGCCCTGCCTTAACTTATTCCGGGACAGGCTGCCTGCGGGGGACGGGCAGCAGAGAGATAATAGCTGTCCTGTGGAGGGCTGTCCCTGTCATCCTCACTGACCTCCTCAGGACAGCCCTGTGAGGCAGGGATGATGGCAGTGATGTCACACTCCCTTCACAGGTGAGAACCCTGCGGCTCGGAGGGGTGAAATGACGAGGGCAAATTCCCAGCTAGTCCACCAGAGGGCAGGCTACTCTGCGGGTCCCGGTGGCTCTCCCCGCCCCGAGGGCCCCCGATGGCCCTCAGGAAAGGGTTCCGGTCCTACCTGCTGCTCTCTCAAAGCCTCTGTGCCCTCCGCTCCACTGTAGATAAGCCTGCGCTCTGGGGATGCGGAAGGGACTCTGGGTCCAGAGGGAGCCTGCGTTTGTTTGATGGCGGGGGTGAATCAAGGTCATGTGTAAAGAGCACGGGGCTGGGGAGGCCTGGATTCCCATCCTGGCTCTGCTGGTCTGTGTCCTTCACCGGATCTCCCCGTGAGCGTGCGCCTCCTGCAGTGCGGGGTGTCAGCCTCTAGGGGCACGTGCTCCTCCCCAGGAGCAGCTGGGCATGGCCCTGGCAGGACTCCTGGAGGCCACGGTGCCCTGATCCACTTAGAGCAGGAGACAGCTCAGGGCAGCCGGTGTCAGGGAAGGGCTGGGGTGGAGCGTGGGGACCCCTCCTGGCCACCTGCCCACTCCTCCCCTCCCCCACCCCCTTGGCTCCCCTCACGAGCTGCTTTTCATCACCGGGAATCTGATCCAAGGATCCTCTGGTCTTTCTGGCTCAGCAGACTGATTCCAGACTCCCACTCACTCGCCCCATGAGTCAGACAGGAGGGGGATGGTCCTAGCTCTTGCACTGTCCATCCTGAGGGCGAGGAGCCCAGGAGGCGGGCTGGGGCCCGGCTGGGTTGTGTGTGGTTGGAGGCTGGGGGAGAGGGCAGCTCCTGCTGGCATGTTGGCGTTGTGAGGGGGGCACTCTGGGACGCCAGGAGGTGCTGAGACTGACTGCCCTGGTTCCTCTGTGCCCTCCCTGAAGTGTGAATGGCTGAGTGTGTGCAGGCCTGCATGCCCACATGTGTGTGCACTGTGCAGAGGCACATTGCTCAGTGGCAGGCCAGCCTCTTGTGGAAAGGGACCGTGTGGTCCCTAGTTGAGATCCAGGGTTCGGAGGTGGAGGGTGGGGGAGCAGGAATGCTGGGAGCCGGCCCCTGGCAGGGCCCTCTGACAATCTGTCCTTGTCTTCCAGCCCATGAGGCTCCCGGGCCCCACTGAGCACAGCCCTGAAGGATGTCCCAGCTCTCCTCCACGCTGAAGCGCTACACGGACTCGGCCCGCTACGCAGACCCCCCTTACGCCAAGGCAGGCTATGGCTCCTATACTCCCTCCTCCTACGGTGCCACCCTGGCTGCCTCCTTCCTGGAGAAGGAGAAGCGGGGTTTCAAGCCGGGCCCCCCAGCCAGCTTCCTTGCCCGGCCCAGTACCTATGGCCCTTCCTCCATCCTGGACTACGACAGGGGCCGCCCCCTGCTGCGGTCAGACGTCCTCGGGGCCGGTAAGAGGGCAGAGAGCCACGCGCGGGGCCTGGAGCGGCCGGCAGGGAGCGGCCTCAGCGGGGGCAGCGGATTCCCATATGGAGTGACCAGCAGCTCCCTCGGCTACCTGCCCATGAGTGCCCGCAGCCAGGGGCTGCCCCTGACGCAGAAGAAGTCCAGCAGTCAGCTCGACCTGGCCAGGGACTTCTCCAGCCTTCGGGCCTCGGAGAGCTACCGCCTGGACCCCGGGCCCCTGGGCCGCAGCCCCGGGCTGGCCCGCACCCGCCGGGAGCTGTGTGCCCTGCAGGGCCTCTACCAGGCGGCCAGCCGCTCGGAGTACCTGGCCGACTACCTGGAGAACTACGGGCGCAAGGGCGGCACCCCTCAGCTGCCTGCCCAGGCCCCTCCCTCGCGAGCTTCTGAAGTCCTCAGCCCCACCTTCCGACCCAGCGGCCGGTACACTCTGTGGGAGAAGGGGAAAGGCCTGGCCCCCGGACCCAGCCGCAGCAGCTCCCCAGGGCGGGACACCATGGTGAGTTGGCCCCTGGGGTCCCAGGGAGGCTCGGGAGGGGCCCCTTCTGGGGAAGAGCCAGGCTGCAGGAAGGATTTCCTCTAATGCTGATCCAGGCAGAGGGCTTCTCCCCAAGCCTCCTGGCCAGCCGCTGCTCCCGCCTCCCTGGTGGGGCCCAGCCAAGCAGGGCCGGTGCCCCGATGGCTCCGGGCCTGCTCCGAGGCTTCTTGTTTCCCCGGGAAACCCACTGAGGACCTGGGCACATGAGGACAGTCCAGCAGTGCTCCCGGCAATACTCAGAGACCCCCACACACCCCACAGTTCTTACCCGCAGGCCGGCCCCCTCCTGTGCGGTGCTGAGGTCCCAGGCCACCTGGTCTCTCATGTCTGGGCTCTCCCAGCCCGGAGGCCTGGTCACTGGGTGAGGGGTTCTCCACTGATGGACACCAGCTGGCTCAGGGCCAGGCGCCTGGACAGACGTCTATCTCCTGTGTCTTCAGAAACATTCTTGTCTCTGGCTTTAGACAAGCTGATGCCTCTGATTCTAGCCTCCCTGTCCCAGTGAGGACAGGGCTCTCCTGGAGACTGAGTGAGGTGGCAGCGTCTCCCTCGCATCTAATCCCTGAACACCCCTTCCTTGGGGCACAGACTTCATTCAGTCTTGTCTGTGGCCGTTGGTAACCTATTAAGTGGCAAGTGCTCTGGGGATGAGAAAGAAATGATGTCTCTAGACCCCTCAGCATGTCCCTAGAGCAGCACAGAACTCAGCTGATTGCATGGATAGAGGGAGAGTGAGTGGATGAGTGGACAGATGGATGGATGGGTGGGTGGGTGGATAGATGGATGGGTGGATGGGTGGATGGGTGGATGGATGGATGGATGGATGGATAGATGGGTGGGTGTGTGGATGGATGGATGGGTGGAGGGATGGGTAGATGGGTGGGTGGATGGATGAGTGGATGGATGGATGGATGGATGGATGGATGGATGGATGGGTGTGTGGATGGATGGATGGATGGATAGATGGATGGATAGGTGGAAAGAAGGAAAGGAAAGGAAAGGAAAGGAAAGGAAAGGAAAGGAAAGGAAAGGAAAGGAAAGGAAAGGAAGGAAGGAAGGAGTATGGATAGATAGGTGGGTAGATAGGAAGGAAGACAAGAAGATGGAAGATAGATAGATGGGTGGATGAATGGATGGATGGATGGATGGATGGATAGGTGGGAAGGAAGGAAGGAATATGGATAGATGGGTGGGTGGGTGGGTGGATGGATGGGTAGATGGGTGGATGGATGGATGGATGGATGGGTAGGTGGATGGATGGGTGGGTGGATGGATGGATGGATGGATGGGGAGGATGGGTGGGTAGATGGATGGGTAGATGAATGGGTGGGTGGGTGGGTGGATGAGTGGATGGATGGATGCATAGATGGATGGATAGGTGGGTAGGTGGATGGGTGAACAGATGGACAGGCTAGCATAAAGGAAGGAGAGTTAGGTGTTGTGACTCCTTTATGTGCTCAGCCCATATTCCTAGGACATGTGCCTTCTTTTACACTATTGCTGTGTCACAGTAAGAAATACTGAAGTTGTTTTAAAATCTGATCCTCTGCCTCAGTCCTAAACCCAGTTAGAACTTTCTGCCGGGTTGTTTTGGTTCATTAGGTGGGACACCACAGTCCTGTCCCCACCAAAATGAAGTGCTTAGGGTTTGGGGTTTTTTTAGTGATGAGAAGGGACTTCTGTCATGTTGGTTTCTAGTGTATGAAATACTGTCTGCTATGTTCTGTATTTTTGTATTTTTTAATTAACTTATGGAAAGTTGTCAGTAAAGCCTTTGTCAGGGGATGGGTTTTTTAAAAAGATTGCTTCAAGTTCAAAAACCAAAAGAGAAAGGCTGCTGAGCGGGCTTGTCAGATAAATGGAACGGGAGTGCAGCTCAGGGCTGGGCTTCGGGCCACAAAGCGTGGAAGCACCACGGTCTAGAGGACAACTTTGCTAACCTGACTAGAGAGTCTTGGCCCCGAGGCGTCTGAGGGGCCAAGGGAGATCCAGAAGCCGGTGCTGCGGGCCGGTGCTGCGCGGGCTGGGCGGAGGAGTGGGACATGGCAGACTGCCGAGGAGACAGAGGGGAGCGCTCAGAGGACAGCCGCTGGGGGGAGTGTGTCTCTTGGCTGGCACTGCCCCTCAGGGGTGACGTGGAGGGGCCCAAGTTCCCTGAGGTTAAGCCTCCAGGCTGGTGCCTACGAGTCTACCCGCGCTCAGATGTTCAGCCGCCTATAGGCACCAGAGACTGGGGCCCAGCACTGCCTCTCCAGGAGGAAGGACAGCCCCTCAGCCCATCGGGAGGGAGCAGCATCTCCTGCTCTGGGGTGCGAACACTGGGCTCTGCCTCCTTCCCACACAGACACCCCCACCCTCGCAGAAGTCCGCGCCCTCCCGTCAGCCCAAGCAGACGCCAGGCCCCCTCACCCAGGCCAGGCTGAGGGAGGTGCTGGGAGAGGGCCTCAGGGGAGTGGCCAGTTGCCCTGGGGCACACTTAGACACCCCAATAGCCCTCCTTGCTCCAGAACACCTTACAGCCCCCAGCAGTGTCAGCCATGCCCTGCGGAGCCAGTGCCCACGCGGAGCCCAAGGAGGTGCTGCAGCCAGGAGAGCGGTGTGTGAGGCCTGGCTCCCCCTCTCCTCGCTGCTCAGCCTGCACTTTGCTGAGATGAGAACAGCCCGTCAGGGGGCTGGGCCGCCATTTCTAAACCGTTTCTGTGCGCATCTGCCCTGGCCGCCCTTCGCAGTCACACAGTGCAGGCGCTCAGCTCCTAGCGGTTGGCCCGGAGAAGCGCCTCACCTGCGCCTGTCTCCTAGGCACAGACTGTCTGTCTTGACTAGTCGTAGGCTGTGTAGGAAAGGCCTGGCGTGTAGCGGGTGTGCAGGGGGGCATGAGCTGTGTGAGCTGGTGCCGGCCCCAGGGCATTCACATGTAACGGAGGGGTAAGTCCTTTTTATTTAATGCTAGAGGCCCAGTGCATGAAATTTGTGCATGGGGTTGGGGGGTGTCCCTCAGCCCAGACTGGACCCTTCGAGGGATGTTAAACTGCCTGTCGGACATCCCTCTCACAAGCCAGGACGGCTGGCTCCCAACTGCTCGCCTGCCTGCCTTCCTGATTGCCCCTAACCGCTTCTGACTGCCGGCCTGATGACCCCCTCACCAATCCCATGCCAGCCTGATTGATGTCTAACTGCTCCCCTGCCAGCCTGTTTGCCCCCAACTTCCCTCCTCTGCAGGCCTGGACATCCCTAACTGCCCTCCCCTGCAGGTTTGATCGCCTCCAATTGTCCTCCCTTCAGACCTGGTCCCTCTCAACTGCCTTCTCTTGCAGGCCTGGTCCTCCCCTGCTGGCCATCTTGTGGTGGCCATCTTGTGTCCACTTGGGGGCAGAATATTTGACCACATGGGGGCAGCCATCTTGTGTGTTGGGGTGATGCTCTATTCAGGGGTGTCAAACTCAATCAGAGAAGGGGCCAAAATCTAAAATCCAGCCTAAATCGCGGGCCGAATGGTTTACTGAACAGTCATAAACTGTCATTGTGATGGAAACGCAGCGGAGTGCAGTGATGACAGCGCGGTGCCGGCCACATTGCAAGGCCTGGCGGGACGGATTTGGCCCGCGGGCCTTGTGTTTGACACATGTGCTCTATCTGCATATTACTCTTTTATTAGATAGGATAGAGGCCTGGTGCATGGGTGGGGGCCAGCTGGTTTGCCCTGAAGGATGTTCCGGATCAGGGTGGGGTTCTTTTGGGGTGTGGGGTGGCCTAGTGAGGGTCCTGTGGTGGTTTGCAGGCCGGCCACGCCCCCCGGCGACCCGGGAGGCCCTGGTATCTGGGGTTTATTCACCTTCTACAACTGAAACTTTGTAGCCTGGACCGGAGCCAAGCCGCCTGCTCACTCGTGGCTGCCGCCATTTCTGTTTGGATTTTTGTATCTTCTACAATTTAAACTTTGTAGCCTGGAGTGGAGGCCTAGGCCGGCCAGGGTGTGTGGAAAGCTTGGCTGCCTCCATTGAAACCCAAGCCTCTCAACTGCTCTGTGGCTGCAGCCATCTTGGTTGGAATTAATTTGCGTACTCGCTCTGATTGGCTGGTGGTGGTTAATTTGCATATTACTCTTTTATTAGGTGGGATTTTAATTGATTTCAGAGAGGAAGAGAGAAGGAGAGAGATAAAATCATCAATGATGAAAGAATCATTGACCTGCACACCCCTCAACTGGGGATCAAGCCCACAACCCAGGCATGTGCCATAACCAGGAATCAAACCCTGACCTCCTGGTTCTTAGGTCAGCACTCCACCACTGAGCCACCCCAGTCGAGTTGGGTGGGAAATTAGTTCTTAAAATAGTTGCAATAGGATGCAGCCCTCGTTGTTTCCAGGTGTCCTGGGGGATGGGAGAGGGCGTGGCCAGGATGGGCTGCGGCTGCTGGAAGCAGCATTTGCCTCTTTACCTTGACATCCCTCATCTGAGCTCTGCTCCCTCACTCATGAAAGGGCGGCCACACGCCCACCCGCCTCACAGGGATGCCCCGGAGCTGGTGTGGAGGGGTGAAGCCACTGCGATGTCGGGGAGTCCCTGCAAACTTTGGGGGAAGGGACAGGGGTCGCTCTACACCAGGTGGCCTTGCAGAGACGCTGGAGCCCAAGTACCCAATCTGGTCTGCCCCCCTCCCCTTCCCCAGCCCACTCCTGTCCCTGGGCCCAAGGACATGCTGTTCCTGCTGAGCCCTGCCAGGACTGCTTTCACCCCACAATCCGTCCTAATCCTCCTCCTCCCCACCCCGCCAACTGCTCCCTGCCGCCCTGGCCTTCTGCCTGCAGCCTCAGCCCTGCCTGCTCCCTGCCCTGCCTTGCCCTGCCGCTCTCCGGTCCCCAGGAAGAGTGGGGGGCGGGGGCAGGCCCTCCAGAGCAGTCGGCAGGCCAGGCACCTGCTGTTCTGTGCAGAGCGGGGCGAGGCTGGGATCCTGGCCCGC